CTGATTATTTAAATTCCACTTTTTTTGTGCTCATTTTTAGTTAGATTATGTTCTTTAGATGCAATACCCACTCCTAAAAATATATTGTTTGAAATGGATCTTTGGTTTAAGATTCAAAATGGTTTTCTATGTTTTAATCACCTAATTTTACAGTTAGGTAGTAATTGCAAATTAATCTTTAATGATGAGTTTATTATATTTTCAGAAAGAGTTGTTTTGTTTGGAGACTTCTACAATAAATCTATTGAAGCTCTTAAAAAAGATGACAAGCTGAGTATGGCGTTAGGAGTTCCCCTATATCCTATGTTTATTGATCTTTCAAGTAAAGATAATTTGATGACAAACACAAAAATAAAGGTTTGAAAATGTTAAAGCTTTAACTTTTATTATTTTGAATTTTTCGATTGAAGAGAAAAATTAAATTACTATTTATTTGCTAAATTTGAAAATTTTCAAGGTAGTTTGAGAATTTTCAGTTTAAGAGGACAGTCAATGTTCATGATCAAGAAAATCGTTTTTGCTCTATTTTTACAGCGGAAGCAGTACAAAACTTTATAGAAATGTTTAAAGAAACCAACGATTTGTCCATTCAAGTAGGGCGCTAACGAAATGGGGATAAGCTCAAGGAGCTATTATAATGGTATTTAAGATGTAGGCGTTCAACCAGATCAAGTACAGTACAAAAGCCGTTAAGATGATTTCGACAAAAGAACGTAGTTTTGTGATATAACATGTTAAATTATATCACGTTGTTCAAGTTTAAAGAAAATTTCAAGTTGCTAAACAAAATTATTAATTTAGTTGAGAGCACTTTACGCTGATTCATAAAATAAAATTAATTTAAAAAAATATATATATATATATATTTAAACAATTTTAACATGTATTCTACAAAATAGAGTGCTCAATGTTCTTAAAAGAACAGAGCAATTATAAAGTAGTACAAAATCACTCAACAAAAATTTTTATTCATTTAATACTGTGTTCATCAATAAAGATTTCCGATGAGTCTTTATTGATGAAATACAGTGTTAAATGGAAAAAAAATTTTTGTTAAGTGATTTTCTACTACTTTATATATATATATATATATATATATATATATATATATATATATATATATATATATATATATATATATATATATATATATATACACACTCGTTCATTTTAGTTGGCGATTCCAGTTCGTGGTAGTAAAAACAAGGGTTTGCTACATACAGAGTGTTCAAAAGAAGTAATGGAAAAAACTTGGAGGATTGACTCTCTTGTTCTTGAAGTAAATAAAAAGTCTTTCAATGTAAAAATTCCGTCAGAAAATGAGATAGCCTTTGATGAAAATTTCAAAAATATTACAAATGATAACTAAAGAGTATATATTTTATAATATAGAAAACAGTGCATAAAATATATTGCTTGAATTAGAAGTTGCATCTATTTTCCAAATTACATGAAATTACACAAATGTTATAATAAACTTTGATAATATGTATTCAATATAATTATAGTTTCCAATTATATAGTTAAGGTTTTGTGTTTCCATAACAACCAAAAAAGTAAACCCAAAATTATCTTCAATACAAAAACAAAATAGGGTACGTTTTGCTTTTGTCACGCAAATATTGAATAAATTAAAACTAAGGATTCTAGTATATGCGGACAAACAACTCAAGAGTATATAACAACAGCAATGCAAGTTCCTCAATTTTCAATACAAACTCTCAATAACTTTTTGAATTCTAGTTTTTTCTAATTTTTCATTTTTAGTTCACAGTTTTCTTTGACAATATGCAAAATTAAATAAACAAAATAATTTAATGAGTCTAAATACAATCAGGGTGGGTTTATTTTCCAAAGGTTAAAAAATAAAATGCTATAGCGGAGTTTCAGTGGATCTATATAAGCATTTTGAGCGGACGCTGTAGTTTTGCTCATTGGTTACTTAGTGGACCATTAGTGGCAGCTGCCAAAGATGGTTTGCTGATAATTAGCCACTTATAAAATGTCAGAAAGTTATCGGATTGCTATTTATAGCGGCTACCACTAATGGTCCATTAAGTAACCGACGAACAAAACTCTAATAAACCGCTATAAAAAATGCCTATAGAGGTCTCCTGCAAATCCACTAAAACAATGTTTGCTGGGATTAGAGAGTAAGCGCTTAAACAAAATGAATTTGACAAGGTCAAAAAAATATTAACTAGCTTTCTAAACATTGACTGTTAAAATGACTTTTTTAAAATAAAAATATATTTAGTTAATATGTATATAAATTTCTTTTTAAAAGTTGCGACCAAGTACATTTACAAAATTGTTGATAAATAAGTTTTCATCCATAATTTTTAAGAAAGTTTAAATTTCAACTCAGTCAAATTTGTTCAAAATTTTTTTAAATTTTTTTGAAATTACTTTTTTTTATATTAGTACTTGTTACTAGGGTTACACAAACGAATCTTTATATGTGTATATGTGAAGAAAAAAAAATTGCAATTTGCAAAAAAATAAATGTAATAAAAAAACGGTCGTAAAATTTGTAAAAACAAAATTTCAATTTTACAAAGAGATTCAAGTACACAAGTATTGTTGAAAGTTTTCCAATTGTAAAGAAGCATAAACTAATTTAGATGCTAGTGCCAATAAATAAAGCATTACTCTATCAAATAATCCAAACTTTTGATAGAACCGATTATTTTTATTTGAATCTAAATGCATATGTTGATTGAATCGTTCAATTTAACTCGTGCTTTTTACGTTACATTATCTCTTTTTAATTGCATGCCCTCTTCTTTTGTAATTTTGTCTCAGACTTAGAAATAGTGCAATGTAAATAGATGCTTGTTTCTGTAAAATTCTTGTGTAATTCTTGAACTATATATCCTTTTATAAACAAGAAAAGAATCTCCACAATTCTACACTTCTAAAATAAAGTCATATCACTGATGCTACACTGAATTTGACACACGTTTATGGTTTTTTACAGATAACTTTAAGAATACTGTTTCAACCCTCGCACCCCTTGAGCTTAATTATAAAAGTTGATAACTTGCTGGTTCAAGAAAATCATAAAAGTAGAAAAGTGAGATTTATTAAAGCAATAAAATCAATACAATAAAAGACTAATAAAATCATGGCAAGTTCCAGTATTAAAATACTAGTATTATACTAGTACAGTATTAAAATTAAAGCAGCCGTGGCGCAGTGGTAGCGCACTTGCCTCAGAAACGTAAGATCCGTGGTTCAAACCCCACCTCTGGGCAAGTTTTGCGACATCGATTGGGAAGGAGGCGTGAACTTCCCATTAAATGCTCTTCCGCGGTGCTCTGTGATAAGATCGTAAGGACTTCTTGGGGCACCTTAATCAACTTAAAAAAAAAAAAAAAAAATCAACAATGCTGTCTTCTGTATTTATATTGCAACAAATAGAGAGTTTACAAATTTCTATAATGGTGATACATATTATTTGCATCTATGTTAATATTATTTTCATTCTTTTCGTCAAGAAAATCTGCAAGATATAACTTTTTGTTTAAATGTATAACTTCGAAAGCTTTCTTTTTCTTTTATCCTTTTTTCCAGGTTTGTCATCGAATCTTTAATTCTTCCAACTTTTTTTAATTACACCAGCTGGCAAATGTTCAAGGTATCAAGAGTCTGATGAGAATAAATCCTAACAGGGCTACCCAGAGGGAGAGAGGGCACTGGGTACATTTTACCTAGACACACGGACAAAGAGGGCACATGCAACCCTCATTAAAAGATTTTTTTTTAAATTTTAATCATCTTTGAAACTATAGTATATTTCTACTGATTTAAAATAATTTTTATTTATTATTTTAACTTATATTTATTATATGTAATTTAAAACGGATTATGTATATATTTGCTTTTATATAAACATAGACAATATGTAAATGGGGTTCGGTGATAAAATTATGCGACAAGTTTCTGTCTTCTTCTTACTCCGGGCTAAATTTATATATGTAGTATGTATTTATTGTAAATTTATCAAACGGCAAGCATTCAAACAGGCTAATCATCAAACGGCAAACTTTCAAACAGACAAATTATCAAACAACGAAAAAAAAAAAGATCATTTGCATAGTTTTGAGCAAAAAATTTACGACAAAATAAAAGGTTTTTTCTTTTCCTGTAAGATATTTTCTAAGATCTTCAGATTTTTTTAACATGTAATGAAATTGAAATTTAGGTTAAGTTAAATGGAAATTTCACAATTTCTATTTTTTCTGCGTGGAAGGACTGATTGCAATCACTCCAATTTAAATATAGTTAATATTCGAATTACATAACACCTATCCAAACAAAAGACTTATTTTTAAACATTACCTACTTTACTTAAATCCATTAAGTTGCTCTCATTCCAACACTTTTCAAATATTCTTTCTCATTACATTCATTCACATTAATATTAATATTGTAAAACTGCATTTAATTTATTTTCTCTTTAATTCCTTTGAGAATTAAATTTTAAGCAAAAACTTCATTTCGATTTCGAAACAAATGAAAAAAATTTTTATTTTATTTAAAAATAAGTAACACACATCTAAGTCTAGTTTTGAAAGCATAATTCAGAGTCCAAAGGCAGAAAAAAGCTGTAGAAAAAGTTGTAAAAGAATATAAGAACAAACTTACACTAGAAGAGTGCGGCTTCGATAAAGTTCAGAAAAAATAAAGCATCTAATAACTATACGTCCAACCAAGTTGTCAAAGTATAGGTTAACAGCTTTATTTTTTATGTTCATAATTTCATTACAAAACTGTAAAAACGGTTCTTTTTTAGACGGACTATGCTACCAACAGCGTTGATGAACCCTTGCATACAAGAAAACCAACTTTCCCTTTAAATTTGTCAACGGTTTCTGAAGAAGATATTAATCGGGCGAGTTTGGGACGCATTCTTATTTTATGAAAAACCTGTAGTATTAAAAATATATCATTTAATATCTGCAGATTCTAAAAACATATTATTTAAAATCTGCCGATTCTAAAAAGATATAATTTAATATTTGCAGATATTAAAAACATACCACAGTTCTCAAATGTTTTTTTTTTAATTTAGGACCAAGAGGCGATTCAACTGGGTGATCAAACAGTTAGAAACAGCCCCTCTTTGTGGAAGAGGGCTTTATCCAAAGTCCAACGCGATCTAGTCATACTAAATGGACTACCTCAAAATCCGGCACTTTTTCACATTTTTTTCGAAACTCCTTTCAACGGAGAGAAAATTAATAGACACTGGCTAATCTGGAGTGGAATTGCAAAAGCTTTTGTTTATTTTCCCTGCTCTATTTTTGGACCAAAAAAGCATAATTTTAGCCCTGGATTTCAGTCTTTCCTCTTGATGTGGAATGGCGGAATAAAAGATAATTGGCGAAAGCTGGGAGAAAAAATTAAAAGCTACCAGTGTAATGTTTAACACAGAAATCAATACATTGTCTGGAAATTAGCTTTTGAAGCCTTGAAAAATCAGACCGGGATCGATTCAGAACTTGAAAAGTCAATAAGAAATGAGGCATCTTAAATGTATGACGTTTTACGCTGCGTCCTGGACGTCACTCTCCATTTAGTCTTAAGAAATCTAAATTTTTGAGGTGTGTTAGCAGTTTATGTTAATAAAATAGTTTTAATGTTGCTTGGAATATTAATCTAGATGTAGGGGAAAGGCGCCTATGATGACATACCGGTCATAATTCCACAAAAATTGGTTTTGGTGAAAAAGTGATTAGATCTACATAACTATACTGGCTTTACATAAGTTTTAGTAAAAATACGTCCGTTGTGCACAAATTTTGTTTTTATAATTAACAAAAATCGATTTTGGGATGTGCTGTTGTAGTTTTTTTCCCTTCATATATTTAAAATTGTGATTTTATTATTAACTGTGCAGAAAGGAAATTTTCATGCATTTTATATCTAAGTTTTGTGCATTTAGTGGAATACTTACTCGAATTTTATCTTTTAAACAAGGCAGACACGACGTGTTTTAGTGAAAATAATTACTTCTTCCTGTGATGGCATACTGACGAGTTGAGGGTGTTGCAATATTGACGAGTTGGAAAACCTTTTTTTTATATATAAGAAAAACTTGTTTTTAAGTAAAGTAAAAAGAAAGCAATGCTCCAAAAGTTTTTTTTTGGTCCAAAAAATACCTATAACGCAATATATCCTATGCACATGCGCGAAACTTTACTATGCTGCCGTGTAGCATGAAATGGCAAATTAGAATGGTTCCGAGTAATTTCTGGCTTTTCTGAGGGAAGACTCTAAAGTTAAATGAAATCATCAAGTTACCCTTGATCCTAAGCAGCCCCATCCTCCCCTACGCCATCATAGGAACAGTGGTTGCCTATGATGGCATACTTAAAATAGGAATAACTTATAAAAAAACAAAACTGATGAAAACTCCGAGTGTTATTATTGTTCTACATGTAACAAGGAATGTATCTATATCAAAACTTTTATTATTGGTCTTCAAGATACTGAATAATGAAGCTCCAAAGTTAAGTATGCCATCATAGGCGTCTTTCCCCTAATCTTTATTTCAATACTATGTTCATTTTTGTGTAGGTTCATCAAGCATGCTGTACGAGTATGATGATGGTAATTTTTTAGCCACCATTGAGCTGTTGGGGAAACACAATAAGACACTTTAGTTCTTACTGTGTTTCCCCATTATTCACGCGGATGTTTAGAATAAATGATTCTGCTGCCATGTTTTTTTATAAACTATCTTTTTCGAGTTTTAAGGCTCATAACATGTTTGCACAGCTGATGAAGCAATGGATAAGCCCAAAATATATTAGTTTAACTCTATGTTTATTGTCTTATGAACTAACTTAATACATCGTATCAACAATTTTAACAAAAAAAAAAAACAGAATAAACTTTTATTAACAAGAATTTCAAATAATCTTTACTCTATTAATTTTTAAATAGTTTATCTTTTTTTTTTCATGTGTTTTCTTTCAAGATTTTCTTCGTGTTTTTTTTTTATGATTATTTGTTCTAAAAATTAAACTTTCTTCAGAAGCATGTTGTGCTTCTTATATATGTAAGAGGCCGTTTTGCTTACTTCAAGCAATGGATGTTTGGTTTAATATGGAGAAAGTTAGGCCCACAGCGAATATATTAACAGATTTAATAATAGATTTGAAACATTTATCAAAAAATTATATGGTATTTAAAATGTAAAGTCTACAACCTCTCCAAAATAAAATTTCAAATAGAAATGACTTTTTACCAAAATATTTTTCATTTTGATAAAATTTAAAGTTCATTGATAACTTTTTATCAAATTAAAAGAAATTAAAATATTTTTTCAAAAAAAAAAACAATTTTCTCCGCATTTGAAATATATTAGCATACTAATATTTAAGTTGGACCTCGACCTGGAAGTTGTCTCGAATACTTATTAGTTTTAAATTTATCATCAGATGTCTGCTACTCGCTGCAAAAATGTTTTTTTTTTATGTTTAATTTATATTAAGTTAGGTTATTATTTTTTAAATTATGTTTAGTTTAGGTTTATCAAACCATTTAAAAACAAAAAAAAACTTTAAACAAACAAAAAAATTATTTTTGTTCTTCGCTTCTTTTTGGTTCTTATTCTTACAACTACTATTTCAATAAACCCTTTTTTTAGCTTTGAGAAATATTATTTATACTTCAACAAACTTTTTAAATATTTTTGTTTTTAAATATAAAGTTTTAAATTATTAGATTAATTTTAAACTAGAAACTTTAGTTGTTACGCTTTAGTTGTTACCGCGTCAGAATATATGTTCTAAATATAGACGATAATAGTCTTGGATTAACAAAATAATTTTTGTTCAATTTTTTTTTCGGTACTAAATATTATGTTTCTAGCTAAATTATTGCGAAAAATTTACCCTAAATATACATTTTTATAGATCAATTCTTTACAATGACGTTAAAATGTTAAAAAGTCTTCGAAAGTTTAAAACTAAATGATTGTTTTATTTCTATCAACTACCCAGTGATGTGTAAGAAAGTAAAAGATAGCGACATGATACTTAAATAAGCATCTGCTTTTTCTCGTATTACCTAGGAAGTTTTACTCTGTATGAAATAATACATCGGTTATCGAAACGATATTTTTTATGTTATGTCATTTTTGTATTAATAAATATGTAAAGTTACCGAACTTTACATTCATTGAAAATTTTATTAGTTTTGAACATGGCACAGTCAGAGACGATTCTACGGGAGTGTGAGGAAGGTGATATTCTCCCCTTCGTTCCTTCCTAAAGAAGACGGTTTTCATGTTATAGTCGGTTTTTTGAGGAATATAGTCGGCTAGTTGGGTATTTGTCACATTATAGTCGGCAAATACTTATTTTTAAGAATCTTTTTTTTATAGAAAAAAGTTGGCTCTTTTTAAGGATTTGCACCGCCTAATTTTTTATATATTTAGTTTTGAGATCATGTTTTTTTCTAGAAGGGAGTCTGTACTTCTTAAGGATTCACCCTGCCTCATTTTATTCCTTGAATCGCCTCTGGGCTCAGTGTTTTATCACCTGTTTTAAATATTTTGAAATGATCTTTACTCATAATAAAGATAAAGTAGTTCAATTATCATAATTGCTTGTTTAGCTTTGGCAGGTTTGTTTGAAGAAAATTTAGATAAAACAAACACTTAAAGTTTTTATTCCTTTTCTATTAAACGTGCATTGGTTTAGGTTTTCATTCCATTACTATTAAACGTAGAACAGTGTAAGTTTTTTTTAAAACAAAAGTTATCGCTTTTGTAAATTAAATACATTCTTTTAACCGTAAAAAAATATATTTTATTTAATGTTTTATGAACTCTTTTAATTTAAAAGAATATGACAGTCTACTTAACGCTTTTAAATTTTCATAAAAAATGTTTTAAACAATTTAAATTAAGTTTTTAAATATATCAGAAGATCGATTTTATTTCCATTTATTTAAGATGAAGATTGCAGTTGTTTTCGCACTTTTCTTTGTGAGTTTTGCTTATTCAGCACCGGTTGAAGAGGACGACTGTTTATCATTGTTCAGTAACGAGGTAATACTTGTAAGATTGTAAAATTAAACACATTACGATAATATAATTTTATCTGAAAAATTCTTGAAAGCGTGTATATGTGTTTTTGAGCTAATGAAGCATAGTCATAAAAAATTGATTTCTTATGACTATGGATAAATTAGTGGTGTAGTCTGAGAAAGATGCGCAAGAAGGGGTTTAAGGGACACATGATTTGTAAAAATAACTTGTTTGCTTATAGAGCTCAGAAAAATTACTAAGAGAGAGAGAGTTTAAAGAGTATATTGAAAAAAAAAATAGTCCTCTTTGTAAACTGTTCCAATTACGCTGATTGGAAAAATTGTTACAAACCTTAATGTTTTATTTTAATGAATAAAATGTTAAAAAAATAAATACAAATTATTAGCAGACAAACAATGTTGCAAATCGACCAAAATATTATTTGAAAATATTTTCAATGATAATGATATAACATATATGATAATAAAAAGAATGTACTTTTTAGGTATGCACAACATATAGTAGTCTTGAAAAAGAAATCGAAGTTGGTTATGGTTACAATGGATACCAAGACGTCGATATTTTAACTATTGGTAACAAAAGTTTTATTTTAACAAACCAATAGTTGTCTGTATACAGTACTGTTAAAACCATTGTGGATTTTTCAAATTTTCAATACTTTTGCTTTTTTTCATGTATAAGTCATAAGTACATATTTAATATCTCTATTAAATAGTCCACCAAACATTTAAGTACTTAGTTTGATAATTTTTTTGCTATGAAACCACATCTGAACCAGCAGTTAAATCATTTTGATTTTTATTGTAATGGGTGTGGATCTAATCTTTCTGTTGTTTCCACAAGTTCTCAATTGAATTCATATCTGGAGAGTTTCCAGGCCATTTAAGTACTTTCATATTTTTTTTCCAGTGTTTCCTGTTAAAAAATCCATTCTTTATCACCAAACTACATTGTTTGAGGAACTAAACAACTTTCTAGCACTTTGATGTACTTGTTCTGGACCATTGTCCCCTTTAACTATGTGTAGTTGACTTATGTTGTTCACAGATATGGCTCCCCAGACCATTACATTTGTTGGAAATTTCAAAGTCTTCTTCAAGCAGTCAGGTTTAAACTCTTCTCCTGACTTTCATCAAACTGTTTTGACTCTGTCATCAAAGGCTGCAATTGTGGACTCATTAGAAAAGACCACTTGAAAGAGAAATTACCCTTTAAACAAATTGAATATTTACACTTATAATACTCTTATATTTAAAATAAATATGTACATATTTTTACAGTTTAGACAATATCATACCAGAAAAATGTTAAGAAATTTGCTCCAATCTTCTTTTCAGGTTTTATGCTCATTGGCCCCCTAATATTGCTGTGTCTTCTTCATTTGATTTGTCAACCTGGGTTGTTCTCTCTGTCGATATGCTTTCATTCCAATTTATAAAAGGATGTTGTTCAAAGTCTAAAGGCTCAAAAGTATACCTTTATCAGCTAGTTTCATTAAAATTTTCTTACAGATGGTTCTTCTATTTATTTAGGCTATGTTTTGTATTTTTCAGTCAAGTCTTGGCGTGGTAAACCACTTTCAACCACACTTTCCAACTCTTGAATAGTCTGTTTTAATACCTGAAGATAGTTTTTTCTTCATCGAACTTACAATTTGTACAGAAACATTTAGTTTTCAGGCAATTTCATTCTACTTCAGTCCACTGTTTTAAGCAAAACCGTTAATTAGCTTTTCTTCCTTAGACTTAAGTCATTGCTTTAACCTATGTTATATTCGTAACTGATAAAAATGATAAATTCTGTAGACTTCCAGCAAAACTTGTTTTTCTTTGTTAAGAAACGAAAGAAGAACAAGTTAAATACTATTCCAACTCACTGACTTGAAAACTTATTAAAACTGATTGAAAAGTCCGACCGAGTTCAGCAACTGTGGCGCAGTGTTAGCGCACTTGCCTCAGAAACAAAGGATCCCTGGTTCAAACTCCACCTCTGGGCAAGTTTTGCGACGTCGGCTTCAAAGCAGGCGTAAACTTCCAATTAAATGCTCATCCGCAATAAGACTCTGGTCTTTTGTTAAAACCGTAAGGACTTCTTGGGGCACCTAAATAAAATAAAAAAAAAATAAAATACAAACGTCTTTCCATCTAGTATTGACTTGTTTTGGGACTTATCACTTTTAAATCCATTTACAACCTTAAAATTAAAAGACAGGCCTAGTAACTAATCAACAGGATAGTATATACATTTTATTAAATGAAAACTCAAAAAATAATTCAAAAGACATTTTCGTCTGTCTAAAATGGGACTTTTTTTTAATGAAATTGTAAAAATCCATAATAATTTTAGCAGTGCTGTATAAGCTAATTTAATTTAATATCTGTTTCAACAAATCTAACTTTATCTAAGCAAGAATTTAAGATATAAAATATATAAACAAACCTAAACTTAACGTGTTAAAATTCTTGTTTACTAGACAAAAAAATCAAATCTCTTGAGGTCAAGCAAATATTATTCATTTTAGCATTAACTTTGATCTAAGCAGGCAACATACTTCTAAAGAGTATTTTTATATTTATAGAAGTTCTATATTTTTGACTTGTTATTGTTGCCGTCTTTTTGTTTAACTATGCTAGTTTAGTGTAGTCTAAACCAGCCGAGTGTATTTTTTATATTACGATACTAATAAAAAAAATATTATATTTAATTTTCATTTTGTTTTATTTGTTCAACAAATTAAAGCTTAATACTTTTTAAAAATGACCCTCAAGTTATTAAAACATAAAACTATTTACATAAAACTTTATTCTAATCGATCAATTTAATTAAAATTACGAATTGTTTTATAAAATTATGGTAAAAAATTATTTTCTAAGAAACGTTCTTTCTTGGAAACAATGGTAATTTTATTGTTTCAAAGAAACGATAACATATTTTTTTATACGAAATAATTTATTATTTTAAGTAGTAATAAAGGGTTCGAATTTAAATTTCGTCACGCTCGAAAAAGGAAGGAGATTAGTAACTTTGTGATGACTCGTACGGGAAATGTTAACTAAAGAATTACGATTTAGTGACGAATAGGAAAGGAGGGGGAGAGGGGGTAAAAAACGGTCAAAAAAATATAAAAATAGTAATAATGATAATAATGTTTGCATTTTTTAATTTTTTTTTATTGTTATTTCTTTTTAGTACTCAAAAAGAAGTTAGATTTCCTTATTCAAGAAAGATTATTAGAGAAAATTCCTTTAGTTGGAGACAAGCTTCATGATTTCGTTGCTAAAAACCAAGATCTTGTCGCTAGTGTTCTTAAAAAAGGAGTTACAGCACTTATTCAAAATCTTGTACCAAAACTAAAATCATTTCTTGGATAAAATTAAATTTTTAAAAGAATAACATGTTAAGAGCATTGGTTGAAAAAAAAAATTGTTATACATCTTTGTATCTATATTCTATGCTAATACTAACTTATGATCTATATTCTATGCTAATACTAACTTATGAAAAAATAATATTAAAGATTTCAAAAACTACAAAGTTTTTGAAATCTTTAATATTATTTTTTTTGGTGCTTTTTTTGGATTTTAATTTTAAATTTTGTGTAGCAAATAACTTTAAAATGTCCAGGGTGACGTAAAATTAGCTTAAATTCAAAAATTCGATAAAATTTACTAAACCTGTTTAAATGAGTTTTTAGTTTAAAATAAGTCTGCGCAATCAACCAATAAGTTTAAGCGCTAAAATATTGATATTCACTAAGTTCATAAGAAACTTGCTCAACTCAACTAACAAAAATTTGTTTTGAGCTATCTTTAGCGTAGCTTAAGATCTCTAAATATTAAAAAAAAAAAATCATATCATAATAAAATTGTTGCTATGATACGAGCAGCTAGAAAAGGCTCTTTATTTTATTTGAATTAAAAAGTTTGTCGGATTTCATGACTGATATGATATATATGCACTGATCTCAAAATAATAACTCAAAATAGTTCTTTCTCAAAATAGTTCTTATTTCGAGATCAGTGTATATATGGTTAGTACAAGTTTCCATACTGCAAAATGCACAAGCTTCCATATTGCTAAGGCTAATAAATTGCATCTAACCATTAACTTCTACAAACATGCAGCATAAAATTCTGTAAAAGGTAGATTTATCTTTACGTAGTATTAAGATGCAGCTCAACATTTTACAAGCTAGAAGATCTAGTTAAACAAAAAAGTTTTTATTCAAAATCAAAAATGAAACGTTTCTAATCTTACAGAAAATACATTAGCTCTCAATTTTAAAACTATTTGAAACAACTATACAAGTTATCCATAAAACAGGGTAACATTGTTTCAAATTGTTCAGTTTATAATTTTAATGGAAACTTAAAACCTAACCAATGCAGGTGGAATAAAAAGCTATAATAAAAGAGTTAAATGAGGACTTCATCTTTTCTAGTTTTAAATAATAAAAAACTTAAACATTTCTACAGTTTTTGGTCTGAAGCTTTAAACTAAATTATCTTGCTTTGCAACAACATCACAAATGGTAGAAGTTTTTTTTATAATTTCCAGAAATTAATTTTAAAAGAGCGAAAAATATATTAAAAAATAGTAAAAAATAAAAATAATAAAAAACAAAAAAATGTAAATAAAAAAATTTAGACAAATCAAGGAAATAAATCCATACTAATTTTTTTTTAAATAAAAGTTAGAAACTTTTTAAACTTTACAATAAGAACTTGGAGATTCAAAGAAGATCAGATGATTTTGTCATCGAGAACCGCCTAATATTTAAATTTTTTGCATCCTTATTTAACATAAACATAAATATAAAAATGTTTGGAATTTGTAAGACATTTTTGGAAGTTCTCAACACCAATGCTGTATCCTCGTTAAAAACATTAATTTGATATATACTACATTCATTTCAATAAAAAAAGGCTCAGCATGAGTCTTTAAAATTTTAGACTTTAGCGCGTTTCTGTTGGCAACGCAGATGCTCAAAATTACTTTCACTACTCCAATCCACATTCGCCTATTTTATTTTAGTTTATGAATAAACAAGTGGTACAGCTGAATTCAATGTTTAATTAGTATGCTTCTTGCTTTGAAGAGTATTCCTATACTTTTAAAATTTTGCAGGACAAGTTTTCAATATGATTTTTTCATGTAAGATTTTCATTAATAGAAACACGCAAGATATATGTTGCTCTTCTAATTTGAACGTCATCAATGAACTAAAACAAATTTTCAAATGGTTTAAATCAAACAAACTTTCTAATAATATTAAAAGAACAAAGTAGCCTTATTTTCATTTGTGCTCTAAAATACATTTACTTTGAGCTAAATTATTTAATTGGTTAATGTTTTTTGAGTACGGAAGAAAAAGTGACCATTTTGTTTTTTCAATATTATTAGAATGTTTGTTTGGTTTAAACCAATTAGAATTTTTTAAATTTCCTTAAGATTATAATTTCATTAAGTTCATAGTCTATACAAGAAAATAGTATCAAATTTTAGAATAGATGTATTTCATCATCAAACATAATTGTCACCAAATAGGTTGCTCTATAGAGGTCGTTTATGTAAAGGAGAAAAAATAGTTACAAATACCGACCCTTGCGGAACTCTACAGTTATTCCTAACAATTTGATCGAGATGATAGAATAAAAGAAAAAAGTATTAATTTCTATTTCTTAAAAAGCTTTTTATTAGTTTAAGAGTATTTCAAGTAATTTCCATATTATTTTAGTTTGTTTAAAAATATGTTAAGGTCAATCAAAATATTTTTATTAAACAACAAATGTGTCTGAAAAAAGTAATTTTGAACTTATAAAATGAATTTGTAATACATTGACTTATTTGGAGTATAGGGTGTTCAGCAGAGTTACTTTTTTTATTGAAGGTTTTGATACAGTATATTATTTTGAGAAAGGTGAATAAAGGTTTTATTATAAAGAGTTCTCTCTGTAGTTTTTGAAAAATCAGAGAGAACAGAAATCGGTCTCTCTGATATTTTGAAAAGTCTCCTCTTTTAAATATTGTGAAACATTTGCTTTTTTCAATTGATCATAAAAAAATTCTTAATGTATTGATCAATTAAATACTTTAAGAAGAATTTTTTTAATGAATTTTTATGAATCAATAATAATGTCTCCATTGATATCATCAGAATCTATTGCTTTATTGGACTTTAAATTTTTATTAAATTTATCAAAAGATAATTCGAAAGAATTTTTTATTTTTTATTTTTTTATTTTGTTATTTAGGTGCTTCAAGATGACCCAACGGTCTTGTCACAGAGCGCCGTGGAAGTGCATTTTACCAGGAAGTTCACGCCTCCTTTCTTACCGTGACGCGAAAATATGTCCAGAGCTCGTTATGAACCTGGATCTCCTGCTACTAAAGCAAGCGCTCTAACCACTGCGCCACGGCCGTACCAGAATTCAAGAATTATCTTTTGATCAAAAGACTTGACACTAAATAATTACAATTACTAAACACTAAATAATTGAGTTGACACTAAATAATTGGGTTGTTTCCATATAACAAAACAAAATCAATCAACAGACATTAGCTACAAAACATTCAATCAATCAACGTCTTCAACGCCATTACCAACAATAAAGCCTTTAAAATTATCTTCTGAACCAGCAACAGCAGCTTCGAGGTTTGACAAGGAGAACTACACGGAGAATGAAAATCGAAATGGAAAATGAGCTGAAGAATTTTTTTCAAAAAAAAAAATTAGTTTTAAGCAAAAAAGTTGAGACAATCTAATATTCCAAAAATTGCTGGCCAATGTTTTACAGAACACGGTGTTGCAGATCATCTCAAGTGAAAAGAAGGAGTTAAGCAACTCAGCTGAACTTTAGCTGAAAAACAAGCCGATTACATCGCCTTCAGCCAAATGAAGAAAAGTTATTAAATGTAGCAAATGTAAAAAAGAATTGCATTTGGACATGATGTCATGCACAAATCCAGATTACAATACTAGGCTCTGTAACATAACATGTTTGCTGCAAAGCCAAACATGTTTTGTTTTTTTGGTTTTAACAAAATTTCTGCCAAATGCGATCTTTTTTTTCTTAATGGTTTTTATATTTTTAAATACAATTAAAAAAAAAAGTGCTTTTGGTATTTTCTATCTTATCTAAATAAAATACTTACAAAATTTTTTAAAACATTAAATTTCTTTATTTTTGTAAACTTTTATTTTTTTAAAACTGATTTTTATTGTTCGGTGATTTTTATTGTTCGGTGATTTTTATTTGTTCGGTGATTTTTATTGTTCGGTGATTTTTATTGTTCGGTGATTTTTATTTGTTCGGTGATTTTTATTGTTCGGTGATTTTTATTATTCGGTGATTTTTATTGTTCGGTGATTTTTATTGTTCGGTGATTTTTATTGTTCGGTGATTTTTATTGTTCGGTGATTTTTATTGTTCGGTGATTTTTATTTGTTTGGTGATTTTTATTGTTCGGTGATTTTTATTGTTCGGTGATTTTTATTGTTCGGTGATTTTTATTGTTCAGTGATTTTTATTTGTTCGGTGATTTTTATTGTTCGGTGATTTTTATTGTTCGGTGATTTTTATTGTTCGGTGATTGGTTTGACCCGCTTTTACTCTTACTCGGTATAACCATCGTTTGTGAATTTGGTAAAATTAGGTTTTCCTAGAGACCTGAGACCTAAAGACCTGAAGGTTATTTGCAGTAAAACTTAAAAACTACGTATTAATAACCATGCATTTATCAACAATTGAAAAAATTACTAAACTACTTGGAAATGTTATGTTGCAACCACAGTTAATTGTTAGAGTAATGGTAAAAGAAGTTACATTGGAATAGACCAAAATACTCTCTAGCGTCATTCAGTAATTTTAGCATGTTTAAAAGGAAGTTTATTTTAATTTTATATATTGTTTTAACTACTGCTTTGTATAAGGTTCATGCAACCGATAAAATACAAAACTAATTAGTTGTTTCAAAAAGGATGAGGTAACCATACTAGACTTGATTGCAAAAAATGATGTTGAGAAAATGGTACAGATTTCAGAAAGCAGTTTTAAGAAAATTTATAGAAAAGCAATGGGCAAGTGTAAATGAGTAAACAAAACACAACAAATAGATCAATCGTATTACGTTAGAGGTTGTGATTTATTTGTAGCAAAATTTTAAAACTTTAAAAACACTAATCAAGATAGCACTGTACTTAGGTTAGTTTATTACAAATTATTTATATTTATTTAGAGCCTATATATAACAAAATGAACAATATAATGGATTTCTGTGATATACAGATTCACAATTCAAGAAATTCAATTAATTGCCCAATATTTGCAAAGAGAATAATCAATGTTTATGGGTTATTTATTTATTTACACTTTATGCTTTGGATAAAAAAATTAATTATTTTGTAACAAAAAATATGAACTCTTGTGGCTC